TACAATGAAACTACTCTTGCAACCAACCCATTTTTTGCTTATATTCAAACATACAACAATAGAAGAGTATTGAGTTACAGCCCCTTCAGAATGGGGGCTGATTTATAACAAGTGTAATTTATTTTGCCGTTTCCTTGGTTCCCAACATTTTTATGAGCTATCAAACATTTACAAAATCAAACCCCCTATTGGAATTAGAGCACACAAGTTTCTACGATAACAGTAGAACCCAAAACTTGTCTATTAGGAGACAAAATTATTAAAATAAATTGTCTAATGTTTGCAAAATTTGAAAAAGTTTCTGAGAATTGTATTTGTAACACGGCTGGGGGTGATAAGTTAACTGATAACTCACCATTGTGCAGTCTTCAGCTTTCTGATTTCTTTGGTTGCCCATGTGGCAAGAGTTTTAGTTTTGTTAGTTTTGGAACGTCTACCTTCCTGCAACAGTTCTTGTATACTAGCTTTCTCCACTAGAGGTAGCATACTAGCACCAAATGCTGTGCATAGATCACTAAAAAACAAAAAATACATTACATTACCAGCATACTAAACATGTAGTTTTGATTTGGAAATGCCGACCACAAGAAAAACATACAATGCAGGTTTTATAGGATTTTCTCTATTACTAGAAGTGCATGTGCTTAACATAGACACGACATAAATGAATCGCCAATAACAGGCAAAACCATTTTCAACCCACTTTTGGCCCAAAAATGACTTATTTTGATTTAAAAATACCCTTAAGTGTGCATGAATCGTAAATCTTGCTGAGCAGCTGGACACTAAATTTGTCTAAGAAATTTTGTTCAAATCAGATGATGCATTTTCGAGTTATGCAACATAGACTGGGCGACTGTGTCCTGCTACAAGGTCTAATGACACGCATGTCTAAGGTCAGAGTGAGTTGTAGTTAATTAATGATGTACATACAAGTATTCGAAATGCACTTCTAATAAAATAAATTTAACGGAGGTTAATATTTTCATTTTCAACACAGTGACAGCCACAGATCTAAATTCTTATTTGTTGACAACTACAACTCTTCCCTCCCCAATTCCACAAACGTCCACCAACCAACCAACCCAATCTTTATTTGTGCACAAGTGTGTCTTGCTGTGAAATACTTTATTTCTGCTCAGGATTCTTTTTCACATAAGGGAGGATTTAATGAATATACCCCCCCCCCCCAACTCATCAAAAAGTGTTTTCAGCAAAAATTAATTGTAGCTTAAATGAAGTACTTTTAATACTTCTACTTTTGACAATTTATTTTCACTATTTTGATGTTTTGAGCAATTTCACTGGGTTTCGAGTTCGAAAATTTCGCAGGGATATTGTTA